GCACGCCTGTATCAAATGGAAATTTTTATACATACATGCATATGTAAATAAATTTGTATATTTCTCCCCACAGAGGAAAGCAGCAAAAACGACAAAGATACGAGGACCCTGTGAACCAGTAAATAAGAAACGACTGCTGACCATGGGCACCGACATCGAACAAAGACCTTGGACACCGACTGTACGCCGCGGTAAAATAGCCGCGGAGACTTCTAGTCCGGGACCAGCGTGTGTGCAACTACCAACATTAGTCGGTATGAAAGTGTGTGAAGCACAAAATCAAAAACAAGAAAAAATGGTGAAATTTATAATGTTCCGTTTTCATACCCGCGCTAGGCAAGAAAGTACCTGAYTCRAAGAAACCAGGTGCACCAGCGTTTACTTTTGGACAGAAACATCGCAGCAATTTTGATTCAATTGGACCGGGGCCAGCGCAATACGATGTCACCGGATTGGGTAYGAAAGGAAAAGCCACTCCTCCGGCAGCGAGCTTACGCAGTCGTCCCAAGGATAAAACACTCTTTAGGACACCCGCACCCGGCGAGTACGATGTGGATCGAGCTGCAAAGGCCGTCATTGACGCTACGCCCAAGTATTCTTTCGGACAAAAGCCGCCAAATGAGAAGCCAAACCTAACGCCTGGTAAGTTTGTTGGTACTTCAAAAGGCAAAGCATTTGCTTTAGGTATTCATCAAATAATACTCAAATCATGTTATCGATGGATGGATGGATGAGCTTGCTGCACTTTTGTATGATTCATGATATCCTAATGCCGGTCTATTTTCTAATACACAGCTAATCATTCAGTATTAAAACTCATCAAATGTATGTGCCCCATTCTCATAACTTTATAATATTTCAGTTCTGTGTCTTTGAGTTTTGCATTCAAACAAACCCACAAATTGGAATTTCATATGACGTCCAATGGTGGTTTAGCAACGTATTAATAATTTGTGCTTGTGTTAAATAGCATGTGAAAGCTCGGTTCGTACATCTGAGCTTACTTAACTATGTACCAAATGTTAGCGATAAGAAATCAAAATTCCTAATCAAATCAGAGGTAAATTGTTCGTCCTTTTTAAATTCTTTGTAGTGTAGTGAGTTGTTGTTTTATATTGCGAGAATTAAACAAAAAGCTTCATACAAATCTTCAAATACTACTTTAATCTTTGCCACTTGTATTTAAACTACACTAAATAACTTTACGACTTTTGTCATTTCTATACATATTTACATATTTTTAAGTAAAAAATAGTTGCACATAATATCGGTTAACTCCACTTTTTTACATTATAGAATTATGTAGACAATAGATGTACAACATTTCGAAAAGTATAATTTAGGGCATTACACGATGTCAAATACACATTTATTTTTGCAAAAGCCTCTAAAATATAGGTATTGCAGTTGCGTTATTAAGCATTTCCCTAGTACGAGTATATGGAACCTTATCCAGTTGGTAGTGAGCAATTGGGACATTTGAAATTTTTTAAGAATAGTAATTTTTTTACAATTACTAAAAATATCTCGGGACGACATTGGTTAAAAATTTTGCGAAAAACTAACGAAGAATCAGTGCTGTATGCGACGGTCCATTATCGTGGTGCAAAAACCAAGATTACTGCCTTTTTACGAATAGCTTCGCGCAAATGATGAAATGACTAAGGCTTAAATAGTGTTCCTTRTTGACAGACAGACAGACAGGCCGCGATAATCGAAGAAAACTGTCAACTGTTTTCGGCCTCGGCTCACCTTTGCCACGATATTCGGCCGATTGGTCGTCTGTTCGTAAGCATACTCATAATCCGTGATAATACATTTCATGACATCCTGGAAGTCGAAACTCATTGTTTCACAGGCGTTAATGCGACACCGTTTTTCGAAAAAAAAGTTTGTAATTTCGGAACCAATCATGCTTTCCCTTTACTTAGACCCAAAAAATCTTTCAAAATGGTTTTCACTGATCCTTCTGATATTCCAATAATGCCAGTAAGATCTCTGACCGTTAATCGCCGCTTCTTAAGCGCCGAAATTTAAATTAAAAGGTCTTACTATTTTTTGCCCACAGTAGTATAAGTGACAAGTTAGTGATCGGTCTTAGCCGGTATTTACGAGCATACTTCTATGTGATTCATCTTTCCTAGGTATTTAGTCTTTCTTTTTCTTATATTTTGCTTAGGCAAATGTATGTATGTATGAACGAGTATGCTTAGTAGTATGTGCATGCAGTTAGTTGAATGTTTGTATGCTTTTGGCATGTCTCTCCAAGTAAATTTCTTTAACTAATAATCCCAATGAAAGGAAATGTGCATTCGCCTGTGCTCAAGACCTGTTTTAATTCCACATTTTTATTTCTCTTCCAATAACGGCAAATAACCAAACATTTTTAATGGAATGCTGGTTATAAATAGCGCCAAATAGCTATCGCCCTGAGGTTTCATTTATTAAAAAGAAAGCACCGAGCTACACTTTTGGTAGAAGAACAAAGCTCAGCTTCGAACAGGCGACTCCAGGTAATGCGTTATATAGTACATACATACTAGTACACAAAAACAAAAAACAGATTATTAGATAACTCGCAACTTTTAGTAAATTCATATACTTATTATAAACAAAAATGTATGCTCTTGTAAATGATGAGAAAGTAATAACGGCTTTGCCATTTGATCATGTATCAATTAACATTAATATGAGCTTATATTAAAGTATCGCTTGCCTGTGCTTAATTGAAATCAATACGTATGTATGTTCCGAACCGCTTCATGCCGCATAACTCAGCAAATGAATCTGTCATTATTTTTATTCATTAGCACCCGGTGACTACCAAACGGAAAAAATCCGTTTAGATCACAGTCCAGCMTATTCTATCRCGGGTAGACATGATATTAGCAAATCCAACGACTCGCCTGCACCAGGAACATATTGTCTCGAAAATGTCCGCCTAAGCAATACACCGGCTTATACCATCAGCGGAAGAACTGCAAAGATATCAATAAGCGAAACTCCTGGTCCGGGAAATTATTATCCTGAAAAGGTACGTCTCGATCATACCCCAGCATACACAATGGCAGGAAAATATGACTCTAAAATCAATAGTGCCACACCCGCGCCTGGAGATTACTGTCCTGAGAAGATCAGACTTGATCACACACCTGCGTATTCCATGGG